GGTGAGGCCGAAACAGCTGCATGCAGCAAATTTCGTAACCCCCCCTTTCCCAATCCCCCCCTTTCGCCCGACCCGATCCCAGCGGCTCGTTCCCAGACATGGGCCCCAAGACCTCCCGGCGACTTCCGAGGGGCCAGATCCTCCTCCCGAATCATGTTCTTGACAGCCCCGGGGCCAGAAAAGCCGACATCAGAAGGCACGAAAAAAAAAAACACGGGGCGTCTCGATATTCTGGAGCCGCAGGAAGTCTGGGTACAACGACCCCACTTGGGCGGCCTGGACCTGGAGGCGACAAGCTCCGCCGCCGGCGACGAGTCGGGGACGCACTGACCTGGGTCAGTCAACCCGTGTAAGAAGGACGCACGATGAGGATGCACGGGCCTTAAAGGGCCGTGTCGACACTTTGCGAGCAAGGCGCGGCCAGCGAAAGCGGCCAAGGATGGGCCCAAGGGGAAGGATACAAGGGTAATTTGAAACATTGCTCATTCTTACTCTGCGGGTTGACTGTAATGCAAGCCCCGTGTCAGTCAGGCTTTGCAGGATCCTGCAACATATCCTGCAGGATCCTGCAAGATCCAACGCTCTGGCTGACCCCCCGTTTGCGTTGACCCCCGAGGTCTTACAGCTCGACTGAGGCGTGCAGAATGAGGCTCCACAGACCGTCCAACATCGGTGGGTTGTCCGAGGCAACCCCGCTCTGTGGCACGCACGCCACAGGCGAAGAGCTGTGCGCCCATCTCACTCGGAGCTGGGGCGGCCGAGGGCAAGATCGGGCAGGGCAAGCAAACGAACCCGAGAGCGAGGGAACTCCGTGCTCAGAATTGGATTCGGGGATCTGCTGACCCATGTCAATCCAGACCCGGGTCAGTCGGGCCTTGCAAGATCCTGCAAGATCCTGCAGGATCCTGCACCCAAACCCAGGTCAATGCGACCCTGGCCCTGCAAGATCCTGCAGCAGGATCCCGCACCCACACCCGGGTCAATGCGACCCTGGAGCTGCAGGATTCTGCAAGATCTGGCGCTCTGGCTGACCCACTTTGCATTGACCCCCGTCTCTTGAGACCCGATGGATTCTACCCAGCGGTTCTCCGGCCTGGGGGGCGACAAGCGTCCCATAGGAGGCGTCGAGGCGTCGTGGCGTCGAGGCATCGCAGCGGAGGGCACGCGAGCGCGGAGGCGCCGTCGGAGACGACGACGACGACGAAGACGACGACGACGACGACGAAGAAGACGACGGCGACGACGGACGGACGGACGGACGGACGGATGGACGGACGTCGGCGGAGCGCGACCGAGCGGCTCGGGCGCGGACGAGGAGCCGCCGCGCTGGTCCAACGGCGGGCGTGCGCGGCCAGCGCGGCTTGGATACTTCACCAGGAGGAGCGCGTGGTTCGGGAAGTAGGGCTTCAGCAGCAGCTGCTCCTCGGGCTTGCGTGGGGAGGAGGGGGAGAGGCGGAGGAGCAGGAGGCGGGGCAGAGAGGAGGACGAGGAGAAGGGGAAGCAGGGACACGAAGGGGGAGGGCAAGCATGAGACGGAGGAGGACCCATTGACTGTGACCCAGCGGGTAGATTCCAGCGCATGTGCGGCGCTCCTCCCTTCTGAGTGCGCCTCCGACCTGCAGGCCCACGGGCCTTCGCAGCTAGAGAGGCCCCGCGGGCAGAGCCTGCAGGAGCTGCCCGCCTAGTTTGGGAGGAGGAGCAGGAGGAGCAGGAGGAGAAATCAGGAGGAGGAAGAGGAGCGGGAGAGAGGAGGAGAGGGAAACGGGGGGAAAGATGAGGAGGGGAAGGAGGAGTGGAAGTGAGGAGGAGGAGGAGGAGGAAGACGAGGAGGAATATGAGAACAGTAACACCCAGGATGTGTCAACGATGGCCACCTCCTTATATCGCAAGCCCACGCAAGCATTCCTTTCCACTACGGAGGAAAAGCAGGAGGATCAGCCCGACGGTCCCGGGGGGCCCGAAGCGGGCCCCCTGAGGCCGAGAACTGCGAGCATCCTCCCAAGGGCAGTTTTCTCAAGCCTCCCTCCTCCTGCGTGGAATGACCGGCTGTGCGCAGAGGCGAGATCTGTCCCATCTGAACGACGATCACAAACGGCTCTTACCCAAGATGGCACAGCTACCTTGCGCGGCGGCTTACGCGGGCCGCAACCGCGGCACGCCACTTTGGAGACGAGGGCGCTGACGCGAGACCTTACGTGGGCAGCTTACGCGCCAGTGTCGGCGAAGACGACCCCGCTTTCTCCCATCGCTCAAATGGGCGTCGGAGCTGATGGCGCCGCCGCACTGCACCGCATCGCCAATTTGTATCGGCGATGCGTCGGCGACGGTGGAGCGGAGAAAGCCAGGTTCCATCCACCGACCCCATCTGCGTTAGGCTCGTGTCATGACGACTTGCGCTCTACGTAGATTATGACATCGCGTGGATCGCTCAACATTCAACGATCGCGTCGTTCCCACAGCGCAGATCGTTCGATATCGGCAAGTTTAGGCATCTGGAAGCGTTCAACCCTGAGCGCCCGAACTTGGTTCGCCGCCGCGTCGACGCGACGCGAACTAACCGAAGACTAAACCAAGATAAAGATAAAGTTTAAAGAGTTGTCCAGACGCTCACCCCCAAGCGCGCCCGCACGCCGGCGAAGCACACCGCATGGCCAGCACCGTTGCCAGGAAGCCGACTCCGAGCATGCCCGCTCGCCTGCGGTTGGCAACAGGCTTACGCCGAGCGCAAGATCAGCCATCATCGAATCGGGTCGGCTAAAGCTGCGATATGGGTCGAAAGCGAAACGGACTGGCCGCGCCAGGGTGCACAACAACGCCATGGACATATCGAACCGAATCGCACCATCGGACAATCGGAATCGGCTCAGATGGGGCAGGGCGGAATCGATATCGACACGGATCGATCGGACCGAAGTTGACCATGGTCAGAACATGCACAAACATATATGGAAACGGATCCAGCGTGCCCGCTCGCTTCCACCAGCCTGAGCGGTGTAGCTTCCTCCTACAGGCCTTCCTGGCTGCCGCACCTGGCCCCTATGCGGGAGGTCCGTTGGGAGGCGGCACGGCACTAACGGGCGGCTGGTCCTTGGCGTAGAGCCCCGTGCGCAGCCCACTGCCCAGGCGCTTCATGTCGTCCACCACTTCTGCTAGCTTGCTCTCCTGTCGGGCGCTGCCAGAGCTGACACTCCTCGTCGTCCCGTCGTAGATCTCCTCCCCCCTCCGTCTGCCCCGCCTCCTACGCTTCCGTCTGCCCCGCCTCCTCCTCCTCCTCCTCCTCCTCCTCCTCCTCCTCCTCCTCCTCCTCCTCCTCCTCTTGCTCCTCTTGCTCCTCCTCCTCCTCCTGCTCCTGCTCCTCCTCCTGCTCATCCTCCTGCTCCTCCTCCTGCTCCTCCTCCTCCTCCTCGTCGTCCTCCTCCTCCTCCTCCTCCTCCCTCTTCCTAACCCCCTCATCTCGGCTCCCCCCTCCGAAGCGCCCCCCAATTGCAACCATCAGTGGGCGCAGGCTGTCTGTGGTCTGTTCTGCTGATGCTCTGCTCTCGCAGGAAGATTGTGGGGCCCTCGGTGGCATCGGCCAGGCGCGAAATCTCTCCGGAGACTGCGTCGCGAGCAAAACGACGGATTCCAGCAACGCGACCGCGAACAGCATGGCGGCGGACTCCAGCCGCAACATCGTGACCAGCACGACCGCGAGCAGCACAACAACCTCCAGCAGCACGACCGTGAGAAGCACGACGGACTCCGGCAGCACGATCGTGAGCCTCATGACGGACTCCAGCAACCCGACGGCGACCGGCATGGCGGACTCCAGCAGCACCATCGTGAGCACCACGACAGACTCCGGCAGCATGACCGAGAGCAGCATGACGGACTCCAGCAGCACCATCGCGAGCATCACGACGGCCTCCAGCAGCACGGCGGTGACCTGAATAACGGACTCCAGCAGCACCATGGTGAGCAGCGCGACGGACTCCAGCAGCACGGCCGTGACCAGCAGGACTGAGCCCAACAACACCATCGTGAGCAGCACGACGGACTCCAGCAGCACACGCGTGAGCAACACGACGGTCTGCGGCAGCACCATCGTGAGCAGCATGACGCACCCCAGCAGCGCCATCGTTAGCAGTACGATAGACTCAAGCAGAGCGACCGCAACACCAGCAGCACGATTATGGAGTCCAGCAGGAACATCGGATTCCAGCAACACCAGCATGAGCAGCCCGATGGACTCCAGCAGCATCAGCACGAGCAGCACGACGGATTCCAGCAGCTTCCCCTGGAGCCGCACGATGGCCTCTAGTAATACCACCGCGAACAGCAAGACGGAATCCCGCAGCACGACCAGGAGAAGCACGACGGACCCCAGCACGAGCATCATGAGCAGCACGTCGGAGCCAAGCGACACGACCGTGAGTAGCACGACGGACCCCAGCAGGACTATCACGAGCAGCGCGACGGACTCCAGCAGCACGGCCGCGACCAGCAGGACTGAGCCCAACAACACCATCGTGAGCACCACGACGGGCTCCGGCAGCGCGACCGGGAACCGCATGACGGACTCCAGCAGCACCATCGCGAGCATCACGACGGCCTCAAGCAGCGGGACGGCGAACAACACTACCATAACGAACCCCAACAACACCATCGTGAACAGTGCGACGGGCTCAAGCAGCACAGCCGTGAGCAGCAGGACGGACCCCAGCAGCACGGACTGCAGCAGCACGGACACAAGTAGGATGACGGGCCCCAGTTGCATCATCGTGAGCAGCATTACGGACTCCAGCAGCACCATCGTGAGCAGCGCGACGGACCCTGGCAGCACCATCGCGAGCAGTACGGCGGACTCCAGCAGCACAATGGCGAGCAGCATGACGGATTGCAACATAACCATCGTGGGCAGCACGACGGACTCCATCAGCACGACCCGTGATCAGCATAGCGCGCCCCAACAACACCATCATGAGCAAGCAACACGAGGGACTCCCGCAGCACGGCAGAGAGCAGCAGGAGAGACCTCAGCCAAAGCATCGCGAACATCACGACGGACTCCAGCAGTGCGACCGTGAACAGCAGGACGAAGTCCAGCAGCACCATCGCGAGCAGCACGACGGACTCCAGCAGCGCGATGGCGAGCAGCGCGACGGACCCCAGCAACACGAACGTCAACAGCACAACAGACTTCAGCAGCACAACCGCGAGCAGCATGCGTCATCGCCAGCCCCAGCGTGAGAGAAGGGCGTTCAAACGCGCGGGGCCTGCGTGACAGGTGCCCAGACAGGTTCGCCGTGGTGTGCTTCGGGGCGGGCGTCGATGGCGTCGCAGCGCGCGTGAAACTCCCGATCTCCGGCGGGCGCACGGCCGCGCAGCTCCAAAAAAAACGTCGGACAGGGCGCCAGGCTTGGCCGTATAGCGTCTCCGCCTCGGCGACGAGCTCCAGCAGGACGGCGACGCCCGCCTCCATGACCTGGACCGCCAGCTGCGCGCCGCGGACGGCTTCCTTATACGATCGCGTCGATGAGGTCTCTAACTGAGCGACCAACCTGAGACAATGGTAGCGATAGGATCCTGGATTCAAAACATCGCTTGTGAGTGTGATAGACTGGCGCCTGCGATTACTGAGTGCTGCTCTGTCTTGTTTTGATTAAGTGACGCGGCTTCAGGAATCCGTTTCTCGTTGAAATAAGTCGCTGATTCTTTCGAACTAATCTTAACAACGCGCACTCATCCATTGCCGTTGACTGCGTTGGCCGGTGCCCAACACACTGGGTGGAGCCCCCGGCCCGTGGCCCCCCTCTCCAGGGGATGGCCTCAGTGAAGGCGGGCCCTCGGGACTGTGCGGAGCGGCTGCCATCGAAGGGCGGACGCCCCACCGCAAGGTTGCCACGGACAGCGGCGCTCCTGGAAACCATATCACCATTCCCTGCACGGCGCCGCGCCCTCCAAGGGACGACTTCAGCACCGAAGGGCCTGGCCGATGGTGCAACCCGCCAGTCCCCCCAGAACCGGTGGCTCTCCAACAGGACCTCTCGCGATCAGCGACTCCCCTGACAGGCCAGACGAACGCCTGGAGGCGATTGTTGCACTCCTTCCTGCCTCCGATCCTGGCCCTTGCAGCGCCGCTGTCCGTGATGCAGACGTGGCAAAGACCGCGCCACAAGGTGGGGCGTGACGCCCACACGGCTGCCAGGGCCGACGCACCGGACGCGCGAGAGGGACGAGCCATGGCAGCGAACTCCGGCGTGGCGGCGGGGTGGGCGGTCTGGACCGAGACAGCCTGGCGATAGGCGCGAGGCCCCGCGCGACACGACCGCCGCGTGCCCCAGCCGCGATGCTGGAGGCCGCCGCGGATGGCGCTGGGCCGCCAGGCCGCGCGGCGCGCCTGCCGCGCGAGCGGCCGCTGGACCTGGCAGCGCGGCTGCGCCCCGGGACCGCTGCGCTGCTCGCGCTGCTGCTCGGAGCTGCTGCTCGCGGGAGGGGGAGCAGCCGCAAACGACTTTTCTGATCGGGTACCTCTTCCCGCGCGCTGTCCCCCAAGGCGGTGCGCCCTCCCTCCTCTCATACTTTCTGACCTGGCCTGAGCGTCCACCTCCCAAGGTGGATGATCGCATTGGCTCCCTGGCTAGAGCGTCCACCCTCCAAGATGGATGCTACCTGCAGACGTACGTGCACCAATCAGGGGCTACATCCGAGGTGACCTGATGAAGGTGTCCAGAGTGGTGCTCCCAGCGCAGCTGCTGGAAGCATCGTGCTGATCGTGCGCGGTCGGGTCTGCCGCGCTGCGCGCACGCGCGCTGCCCTGCGCGCGGACCCCGCCGGCTGCGCGCTGGGCGGCCCGTCACCCGGCTCGCGCCGGGCCGCCCGCCCCGCTGCTCTGGCAGCTGGGCGTCCGTGCCTGGCCAACCCTGTGGTCGTGCAACCCCGCCCCGCACAGCTGTGATGCGTGCACCGGCCGGGCCTAGCGGCTCATTCCTTCCCCCTGCTCGTGCCGCCCCCTCGCCGCCTGGCTTCCCCTGGCGTTGGCTTGTGGTTTTCTCGACCCTTGCTGCTCCGCTGCGGCACTTCGGCAGCATGGGGGCCCAACGACACTACATTTCGGCTACAGTGCGCCACTCGTGGCCCCGTGTCCCTGCCACGGCCACTCGGTCCGAATCTGCATCCTGCTGGCGCCGTACCTTTGCAGCAAAGCCTGACGCTCACGGTTTTTGTGACCGCTGTGGGCCCGCATCCCGCTTCTCCTGACGCACTGGTTCGCCCTACGCTTCCAGCACCTGCAGCCTTGGCTTCAGCCCCTGGGTGTGGCCGTGACTCCGCACAGCGTCCACTGCCAGGTCGCCTCAGCACAGGCTGGCCGCACCGGCGCGCGCATCCTGAAACCTTTTTCGTGGTGAATGCTTCCCGCCCCAGCGTGTTTTCTGCGGCCGCCCTGTTCCCTCATCCGTCTCCTGCTGCTGGTTCATTGGCATGCCGCGCGCCCCCGGCTATCAGAGCGCGCGTGCAGATAACCTCTGCCGCGCCGCGACGGAAAAAATCGAACGGCGTTCCGACCTCCATCAACACTGCCAGAGCGTGGCTTTCAATCTGCAGAGGCAAGCGCCCCGAACTTCGTAAGGCTCACGGTGCAGCGAGGCCCTTGCAGCTTGCACTGCGGTCCCGGTTTCCCGACTGGCCTCGCCGCCTGTTCTCGAAGCTTCTCTGGCGGGCCTCCATGGTGGCACAACACCGTGTGGAAGCTCAACGCGTCCTATCTCAGAGGCTAACAAGATTAAGACACACAAGTCCTCCTCCACCGCCTCCTCCTCCTCCTCGTGGTCCATCCTCCCTCCTCGTCTCATCTTCGCTGCCCGCGCTCCATGTCGAGCCTGCCGTTTGTGATGAGGCGGTCGGTCGGCAAGTCCAGCAGGACCTCAGAGGACGCTCGAGCCAGGGCCGACGGACACCAGAGGCAGAAAAAGATTGAGACAAGAAATAAAAGCGAGGAAACGAGAATCGAGACGCAATATCGAGGAGGCCAGACGAGACGAGCGCCAGGGCCAAAGCCCCTCAGGCATATTCCCCCCCGCATTATGCGAATTGCTCGGCCGTCTCTGGAGGCGAACTCACGTGCAGTCAGGCAGACTACCAGCCCTGGCAGGAGGGAGGAGCAGGAGGAGGTGAGGAGGGATACGTACGCAGTCTCAGGAGCTGCTTGACAGACGAGGGCAGGGCGCAGATACACTCGGATGGGGAGTCATCGGAGATCTGAGAACTGGCGGGCCTGGCGGGCGTACTGAATTACAAGGCGCCGCGGCCGCTCTGGAGCACTCTGGAGCGAGGTGCCCTCATCCTGGGCCTGTCCGACTCCGTGGAGGCCTTACGGGGGCCTTCCAGGGGGCGCGGAGGCCTCCGGGCGTGGTGAGGGGGGTGAGGGGCGGCACCGATCCCCGCTCGCCCAAGGGTAGCTGCGGTGGAGGCCGCCCACTCGACTGCACGCAAGAGTGACCCTTCGCACGAGTGATCCTTGGTGCGCGGCTTCAGGAGGGGCGCGAGTGCTCCCCAATCGCCGAACGAGATGCGATGGCAGCGACTGGCGCGACTTGTTTTGGCCTCCCCTCGCCGCCCCCCCTCGAAGCTGAGCACCAAAGGCCACTCTTGCCTAGGGTCAGTCCTGCGTGCTGCCGAGCCTGCATGAGCGACCAAAGCAGGCTTTCACGCGAGATGGCACAGAGACCTCACACCGCAGCTTGCGCAGGCCGCCCGCGCACCACGCCACATCGGCGACGAGGGCGCTTGCGCGCGCCCTCACGCGGGCAGCTTACGCGCCAATGTCGGTGCAGTCAACCCCGATTTTTTCTACGTCGCTCGCATGGGGCCGGTGCAGGTGGGGTCGGAGGATCACACCGCATCGCCAACGGATCAGCGGCGTCGGGATATAGAGGAGATATGGCTCTGGACCGCGCGACGTGGCCGATGCGTCGGCGACGCTGCACGATGCACCCACCTTCTCTCCAACGGCCCCGTCGGGGCGGCCTGGATGCGGTGGAGGAGGTAGGGGAAAGGCGCGGCGCCCCCAAGCCTCAGAGATCGAGGTTCGATACTCTTGGAGGATTTCGGGCAGCCTTGGACTATTCGGGGAGATGGGCACATCTCGACCTTCGGAAGCCTCTCGACGCCCGCGGGGACCATCGGCTGGGGACCCCTGGGCCGATATTGGGAACAAGAACTACAGCGGGGGATGAGCTGAAGGGGGGGGAGGGACGATCAAACTGGGGGGCGGGGGTGGAAGGCGTGGAACACAGCCCAGGCCAAGCCCAAGCTGCACAGCCCATTGATCCGCTCCTGGCGCGGCAAGAAACCACGACTGAACACCAGGAGAAGGGTCAAGAAAGATGGGGGAGACAACAAGTCAGCGACACAATCCGAGCCGCTCCCGTGCAAGCTTATTTTATGATTACGTGGGCGGCAACAAGAGAAAGATCTTACGCCGATGGCATAGCGAACCTATGCCGCAACTTATGCGGGCCGCCAGCGCGGCACACGACATGGCAGCGCAACAAACTGGGTCAAATCACGGCTTTGTCGAAATCGTGCACGGAACCCTTAGTGGTTCACCACTGGAACCTGGGGCCGTCTTAAAACAAAGCGATTATGCAAGGCGGCCCGGAATTTGGTAAAGTCTGGGGGTCTGGCGGCGTGATTCAGTCGAGTTGGCTGGGACTTGGTCGATGGCCTGGATTGGATCCACTACCGGGTACCCCCAACCCCCACTCCCTGAGGTCTTTTGGGGGGTTCGCGAGCGGTCAGAGCGCCCAAGATGGCTCCAGGAGGGACCCGGTGCTCCAAGATGGCTCACGAGATGGCTCAAGCTGGCCGAACATGGTTCACGGTGGCTTCTGGCATGCCTCCAAGAAGCCCTAGGAAGACCGCGCGACGGCCCCAGCTGATCCCGGAGCCCCCTCAGGACGTCCCCGAGAGACCCAAATCCTGCAAAACCTGAGGAACATTATAATTGTTGCCGTCTAGCCTTGTGACTTCCGAGAGGCCCCAGAGGCACCCAAGCCCCCAAGACGGCCCAAAAACCGCCCTCGAGCGCCCCAAGGGCGCCCAAAGAGGGCCCCAAGAAGCGATGTTATGGCCCCAGAGGGGGAAGGCAAATCGAGATCCCCCTTCCTCTTTTGATCGACGCCCTCCAAGATGGTCCCAAGAGACCCTCCAAGGATCCCAAGAGGACCCCTAAGAGGGCCCCAAGAAAGCCCCAAAACCCTTCATAAGAGTCCCAAAAGGACACCAATACCTTGCAATATAGCTCCAAGAGAGCCGCGCGAGAGCCACAAGAGGACCCTAAGAGTGTCTCCAGAAGACCCCAAGACGGCGGCCAGAGTTCCCGTCCTCCTCATCTTCCTTATCCTGCTCGTCTTCGTCCTCTTCCTCCTCGCCCGCATCTTCCTCCTCGTCCTCCTATATACTCGTTTTCCTTCTGGTTCTCGTCTTCCTCCTCGTTCTCCTCCTCGACCTCCTCTTCCTGGGTCTGATCAGGCTGATTCAAAACTTGCTCCACTGCATGTTACTACACTGTCCTGAACAAGGCAACTGGCCTGGGCATCGTTTCCGGATGGGCTGGTGGGGATACGCGAAGCGTCAAGAATTTCTACATCGCTACTTCACACATGAAGATTGCAACAATGAAGAATACTGAGACACGGACGATTGCGCCCTGGCGCGACGCTACTGGAACAACGCTCCCTTCTGAGAAGGTACACTTGGCCAAGGCGCACTGCTTTTATCCGTCCTTTAGGTCGCCCGTGAAAGCGATGGCGGCCGGGGAAAGCGTGAAACAAAGAACACAACTTCGCTCGAGAACATGGGGAGGTCGACCCCTGGCCCAAAAAAGCGAACGCAGGAGCAGATGTACTCCGAGGTGCTCAATGAGACCCCCCGTGCCACCCCGCCCGGCAGCCCGTTCGCCCCCCCGCCCACCCCCTCAAGCGCTCCGAAATCCCCCCCCCACGCGATCCAATCCTCTCGGGCGGGGCTAGGACGACGATACATCCGCTCCAGAGCGATCTGGAACGCTCTCAGAGCGCTCTGGAACGCTCTGAGAAGGCCGCGGCGTCCGAGACATCCTCCAGAGCCGCCGGATCTCAGAGATTCTCAGTTTGTCACTATCCGATGGTATCCTCGTCCTGGCTTCGTCCTACCCTCCCCCCGTCCCGCGCCGGATAGCCACATCGGGCGATCCCACGCGATGCACCCCCGCTTTTTCACAGAAGGAGAGGAGTCCTGGTGGAGTCGGGTCCCCGTCCCAAGGGTTTTCCCAGAGACCCGCTCTTCCTCCAAGCTCGTGCTTTGACGGCCATGCCCGAGGGGCACGAGAATGGGCGAGATAACTCCGAGGTCCCACTCCTCCAGGGGCCCCTTCCCACGGTCGGGCCTAGGACAGAAGGACATCCTGCAAGAACACGAGACCCTCCGCTGGCCAGAACACCCCAAACCATAAGATCACTCGAGGGACCCTCGCCAGGGATGCACGAGAACATCCAACAAGCACAAAAAACATTCATGTGCCCTCCTCTCCCAAGCGACCTCTATCTTATACCCGGCGGCGAGCGGGGGGAAATGAAAAGGAGAAGGCATTCTCGGAAGGCGGCGGGACTTCTCAGAAGCCCTCGCGCCTGCTGAAAAGTTATGCTTTTCCGCGCCTTCGGGGACGGCCTAGAAAACTCCTCAAAGGGCGAGGGACCTCTGAACCTTCTGAGAAGGTCCACCCCTCCTCACTTCCCCCCGGGCCCGCCGCCGAGTGTTGGACCGCGCAGAGATGTTTTGCCCCCACCACCTCCCCAGTGATTCGGGTCGGGCGAAAGGGGGGGATAGCAAAGGGGGGGATTGAGAATCAGCTCCCGTAGCTGATTTTCCCGGCGCCTTCCGGCGCCGGAGGCGCCCATGTATCGAGGAACGGGCCCCTCGGTGAGGCCGAAACCAGCTGCATGCAGCAAATTTCGCAACCCCCCCTTTCCCAATCCCCCCCTTTCGCCCGACCCCAGTGCTGCACAGCTGCGCCGATCCTGGCCAGGCCATTCCCGGGCCCAGGATTGGCGCACGGCCCAAAAAACTCCACAGGAGGGCGGGGCCCTCCCGAGACGGCCGCCCCTGCCCCTCGATCCCCCCCCCCTCTGACGACCTACCAGGCCACCCCAACCCAACCCATCCCGGAGGCCCACATTTCGGGTTGGACGGGCTATGGGTTCCAGATGTGCGCTTTTGTTCCATGTTCCCCGACGCCCCCCCCACTGGAAAGGGAAGGCGAATTGGGGCCTTCGGGTTGGGTTGTGGTGGCTTGGTGAGTGGTGACCCTCGCCCGCCGCTGGCGCACGGCTCCTCGCGCGATCCCGACCCCCACGCTCATTGAGCAACCCGGAGAGTACTCAAACACGGTGCCCGGCGGGCGGTCGCAGGCTTCGCCTGGCCAGGCCGGGCGGCCCGCTGTCGCGAAGGCGCAGGGGCCGCGGGCAGACCCGCCGGTGGCATCACGCCTTGAGGCAGGGTTCGAGCCAAGCGGACGGCCTGCCAGACCACCCCAACCCAACCCGAAGACCCAAACTTCGGGTCTGGGCGCACGGGCTCCGTGCGTGTTTTTTCGAATCATGTTCCCCGCCCCCCCCCACCACCACCACCGGGAATGGGGGGGCAAATCGGAACCTTCGGATTGGGTTTGGGTGGTCTAGAAGGTGGTGGTAAACAGTTTTTGTCCCTTTTCGTCCTGTGTTCGTTGTCCTTCGCTCTGACCTCGGTTCCACTCGTGCTGCAGAACGAACGCACAACGAAAAAACTGTCCACGAAATGGCCAGAACATCGTTTATCTCGAGCCCTGCCCTCTACTGATCCTTGCTGGGCCGCGCGGGCGGCCCCTTGCTTGCCCCCGGCAGCCGGTCCGCGTTGCACCCCCACTGCCGGAGCTCCTCTCGGGCGGGCGTTCAAACAGCTGGCGGCGGGCGAGGGGGGAAAGCGATGGCGATGCCGATGATGACGATAAGGATGGCGAGGATGATGATGATGGTGATGGCGACAATGATGATGACGATGGTGATGACGATGATGATGATGCTGATGATGATGATGATGATGATGATGATGATGATGATGATGATGATGATCCACGCGGCTGAAGGGGACAGGAGCTCGCTGCTCGCACTGCCCCTCGGACCGAGGCGTTTCCCCAAGGCCCTGCGGTGGCAACGCTCGGTCTCGCGCGTTTCGGCGCACCCTCGCAGATTCGAGTGAGTGCCAAGAAACCGCCCGCCGCCCCAGCCGAAGCAGGGGATAGTCACGGCCTCCGAGCAGTCCCGGCGACTCAGCCCGCCACAGAAGTGCACGGAAGGCGGACTGGTACGCAGCGAGCTGCAGAGCTATGATGCACAACACGCCCGAGAGGGGCGGGAGGGAGTGAACGCTGGCGTGCCGAGCCCCTCGGGGTAAAGCCTACGCCACGGGGCCCCACCCCCACTCCGAGGGCCAGACGCTCGCCACAGGCATTCGTGATCCTCGGACCAACCTGGCGCCACGAGCAGAATGTCACCGCGCGCGCTGCAGAAGCGAACGGGCGGTGCTACACCTCGAGCCTAAGCGGGGTTCGCACGTTCGTCGTAGACATTCTCGACCATCGGACCCGCCTGGCGCCACAAGCGCACGGCACCGCGCTCGGTAGACCTAGGGATCCGAGTCGCAAGGTGCCACAGCTTCATTGACACAGAGTGCCGCTCCTCCTCGGACCCGCCTGGCGAAGAGAACGACACCGCTGGGCCGCGCGGCGCCGCTGGGCTGGCCGCACTCGGCTCCAAGCAAGGGCCGATCTCCACGCGCCCTTCCACGACGAAGCCCAAACCCGCCAGCAGCACCTCGTCGTCGAGCTCGTCGTGGCCGACGGCCGTGATCTGAGCTCGCGGCCTTCCGAAGGCCGCCCGCGCCTTGCACTGGTCCCTGAAAGAGTCCATGGGACGGCTGATTCAAGTCCTGTACGCCACCAAATCCTCTGCCCAAGTGCCCACGGCCTCGTGCGTCCCGAGTTCCGTCGCGGCCTCGGCGGGCGGGGGGACGTCGTCGGGGCTGGCGGCTGCTGGCAGCGGCCCGCCTGTCCGCTCTGGGCCCGCGTCGGCGTGCGCGTCGCCGCCAGGGAACGCAACGTGCAGCGCATCCTCCTCCTCCTCGGACCCGAACTCCTCGTCCACGGTCTCACTGACATCCTCGCTGATGACGTCCAGCGCGGGGGTGAAGGGTGGTGGACAGGCGGCGCGCCGCCGCGGGCGCGACTGCTCGCGCAGGGCCTGCAGCTGCGCGACGAGCCCCGCCGCCAAGCGAGCCGTGCGCGCAGCGGCAATCCTCGCCTGGAGGGGGTCGGCCGGCGCCTCGTCGCCGACGTGCTCCTCAACGATCCCGTCCTTCGCGTGGCCGGGCGCCTAGTCGAGCACCACGGGGGGCGCGGGCTGCCGTCCCAGGCGGGGGCCTGCCGCGGCCCGCGAGATGCCCTCTGCGGACGCGCGCGCGAATCCGCGCGCAGGGGCCAGCAGCGCCTGCCACGCGACGTTCCGCCGCCGCCGCGTCGCGCCTGGGACACGTCTTCCCGAGGCGGCCAGGCGCAAGGCAGGGCGCGCGGCAGCCTCACGGTCCTGCCAGGAACCTGGACCGCCGCTAGCCACCTTGCCAGCCGCCACCACGGCAGCAAGGAGGCGCCGTGCCCGGGCCCGTCGGGGGGCCGCCGAAGCGCCAACCTCGTCCTCCTCCTTCCTGCGTAGTGCACTGCCACGCCTGATGGGCCGCCCCGCCCTCGCGCCTGCGGGCAGCCCCCCGTCGCCACTGTTCATCTCTCAATCGCGCGCCACTGACCGCTGCGCGCGGGCGCCTGCGAGAGATATGGAGAAACAGCTTGAGCCAAAATGGCTACGGATGATGATGCTGATGTTGATGATGCTGCTGCTGATGATGATGATGAAGAGGATGATGAGGACGATGGTGATGAGGATGATGATGAGGATGATGATGAGGATGATGATGATGAGGATAGGATGATGATGATAACGATGACGATGATGACGACAGCGATGACGATGACGATGACAATCGTCATCGTCATCGTCATCGCAGCAGAAAGGACGGGCCTCTTCAGAAGGCTCGGAAGTCCCCCGGCCTTCTGAGAGGTCTTCTAAGCTTTCCCCGAAGACACGGGGGACCTCTCAGAAGGCCGAAGGCCTTCTGAGAAGCCCCGCTGCCTCCCGAGAGGGCCTCCTCCTTCTCACTCCCCCCCCCCCATCGCTCGCCGCCGGGACAGGACATCGGCGATGCTCCTGCACCGATCCTGGCCACGGCGACCCTGGGCCCAAGATCGGTGTGTGTGCGTGCGTGTGTGAGCGTGCGTGCGTGTGTGTATGTGTGTGTATGTATGTATGTATGTATGTATGTACGTACGTACGTACGTATGTATGTATGTATGTATGTATGTATGTATGTATGTATGTATGTATGTATGTATGTATTAATGTGCGTGCGTGCGTGCGTGCGTGCGTGCGTGCGTGCGTGCGTGCGTGTGTGTGTGCGTGTGTGTGTATGTGTGTGTGTGTCTGTGTGCGCTCCTCTGGTTCAGCTCAGACCTGGGGTAGGCGGGGTCCCAGAGAGCCACCAGAGACACGCCACAGGCCCAGGCCTTGCGTTCCCGACGAAACGCATCATTATCATCATCATCATCATCATCAGCATCATCATCATCAGCATCATCAGCAGCAGCATCAGCATCAGCATCAGCATTAGCATCAGCATCATCATCCTCATCAGCATCATCATCATTGCAATCAAACGTATCATCACAATGATCATCAGCATCAGCATCACCAACACCATCATCATCAACATCATATTCAGCACCACCATTATCAGCATCATCGCCCTCATCATCAGCATCAACATCATCATCATCATTATCAGGAGCATCATCATCAACAGCAACAGCAAAAACAACAACAACCAACAACAACAACAACAGCAGCAGCAACAACAACAACAACAACAACAACAACAACAACACCACCACCACCACCACCACCACCACCACCACCAACAACAACAACAACAACAATTACTAGCACGTGGGGACACTCCGTTCTCACCAGTGCCAGGGTTTTCATAGGAGGCGGGCAATACCCCCACTTTGTGGGGGGGCCGGTTCAAGCTCTACCAAATTTCCAAACGACTCTTCGCCACCACCCACACCCAGCTTCCCGCCCTATGACGTTCGGACACTTCACTTCGTGGCATGCGGACGACCGTGGCTACTATTCAGGGCCCCGCGGCCGACGACGACGGCGTGCGCGCGCGAAGAAAAAACGAATGTGTCCCGCATGGTATTATTTGACAGGGATGATGGCCCTGGCAGGTGCGCAACCGTTGTTGCAGAAGTTCGAAAAAGTTGCTCGCAAAAGCCCGTTTGACAGAAATGTTTAAAAAGTGTTGGGTTTCCTACGAATCCGCAAGAGCGCGCGGGATGAAATTTTGACAATTTTGTTTTGAAAAACCATTGGTTTTTTGATGTTTTTATGTTAAAATCGCTACGAAAACTAAGGTTTTGGAAGGATTTCGTCTTGCGCGCGCGAATGTCCACTTTACCTTATTTTTTGCAAGGGATTCTTGAAGTTTGGTTATGTTAGAACAAGAAATGTCCACTTTAGCTCATTTTTTTTGCAAGGGAAAACGGGGGACAACAAAACAACCGGATCTGGACCAACCCGTTTTGCCTGAGACTTCCTCACGAAAATGATGAAAATGAGGCTGCGGCCTAGGCGCGGCGGGGGGGGCGCGCACCAGGGGGCCCAACAATAATTATTCTTTAAAATTAATAATGTTCAATTACTAGCACGTGGGGACACTCCGTTCTCACCAGTGCCAGGGTTTTCATAGGAGGCGGGCAATACCCCCACTTTGTGGGGGGGCCGGTTCAAGCTCTACCAAATTTCCAAACGACTCTTCGCCACCACCCACACCCAGCTTCCCGCCCTATGACGTTCGGACACTTCACTTCGTGGCATGCGGACGACCGTGGCTACTATTCAGGGCCCCGCGGCCGACGACGACGGCGTGCGCGCGCGAAGAAAAAACGAATGTGTCCCGCATGGTATTATTTGACAGGGATGATGGCCCTGGCAGGTGCGCAACCGTTGTTGCAGAAGTTCGAAAAAGTTGCTCGCAAAAGCCCGTTTGACAGAAATGTTTAAAAAGTGTTGGGTTTCCTACGAATCCGCAAGAGCGCGCGGGATGAAATTTTGACATTTTTTTGAAAAACCATTGGTTTTTTGATGTTTTTATGTTAAAATCGCTACGAAAACTAAGGTTTTGGAAGGATTTCGTCTTGCGCGCGCGAATGTCCACTTTACCTTATTTTTTGCAAGGGATTCTTGAAGTTTGGACATGTTAGAACAAGAAATGCCCACTTTAGCTTATTTTTTTGCAAGGGAAAACCGATCGTAACAACACAACCGGATCCGGACCAACCCGTTTTGCCTGAGACTTCCTCACGAAAATGATGAAAACGTGGCTGCGGCCTAGGCGCGGCGGGGGGGTCGTGCACCAGGGGTCCCAACAATAATTATTCTTTAGAAGTAATAATGTTCAACAACAACAACAACAACAACAACAACAACAACAACAACAACAACAACAACAACAACAACAACAACAAAAACAAGTTTGCGACTGTTCGCTCCTATCTGCTCACGTGTCAATCAATAAGTATATCCCACACCCTCAGTACCCGCCCTCGTCGTTGTCGATCGTACTCCCTTGGGGGAATTTAGTGCAACCCCTAAAGAAAAGGGAAAAGAGAACGGGGGGAAGGGGGAGGGAGAAGGATGGGGCACGAGAGAAATTAGCAGGAGTGGGACAAGGAGCAGAAAACAAGTGGTAGAACCAGACGGGCAGA